GCGGACGAGGAGACGGCCAAAGGAGGACGAGGAGAGAGAGCAGGAGGGGAGGAGGGAGGGGGAGGGGGAGGGGGAGGGGGAGGGGGAGGAGGAGGAGGAGGAGGAGGAGGAGGAGGAGGAGGAGGAGGAGGAGGAGGAGGAGGAGGAGGAGGAGGAGGAGGAGGAGGAGGAGGAGGAGGGGGAGGAGTAGAGAAGGAGGATGGGGAGGAGGGAGGAGTAGAAGAAGGAAGGATGGGGAGGAGGAGGAGGAAAGGAAGGAGGATGGGTAGGAGGACGAGGAGGATGGGGAGGAGGAGGAGGGGGAGGGGGAGGAAAGGAAGTGGAAGAAGGAGGAAGATGAAGACGAAGGAGAAGGGAAAAGAAAAGCAAAAGAACAGATAAGAAGAAGGAGGAGGTGGAAGAAGAAAAGGAGGTGGGGAAAGAGAAAGGGAAGTAGAAAGAGAAAAGGAGGAGAAAGAGAAGCAAAAGGGAAAGGAGAGAAAGGGAAGGAGGAAGAGAGATATAAAACGAAAATAGGAGGAGAGCGAGACGAGAGCGAAAGCGAGAGAAAGAGAGAGAGAGAGTGAGAGTGAGAGTTTGCAAATCGTTTTCAGCCTAAAAATCATTTGTCGGTGGCTTGGGTCGGAACGAGTGAAGCAGATCCCTCGGGCCGTTCCTCTCCACCAGGGGTTCCCGAACTTTCCTGGCTGGCGCCCCTTCGCTTCCAAGTGGACTGCTAGCCAGCCCCCCTCCCTCATACACATGCGAACACCTTTTTTCGGTATGCCTCAAATTGAAAATAAAATAAAACACAAAGATATATTTCAGACAAATATCACCTAATTTAGTAAAGCAATTTATTTAGCAGTTTTGGCTGTGTCATAAAACGGAAGGGCAAATCATCTCACCAGTAACCGTCTTCATGGCTATTGTTAACGGGATGGTTGTGTTTGGTGCATATTTTGTCATTCAGATTTTGTAAAAAACAAAAAGTTAACTAGTTATCAATAGCTCCCCCTACCGCCCCCTCTGCCTCCACCGCGCCCTTTGGGAACCATTCATTCATTCATTTGAGGTTTGCGAAGTCTAGCCAGTGCTCTGCGCCCGTGTTACTTCCAGCCCAGCCCCTACGCAGTGATTTTGTGATTAAAGGAAAATACCCACCGTAACACGTGAGTGGTATCTATATATACCAGACGTCACAATGAGGTCTAGTGTGTATACATAGCGTTATGCAGATTGGCTAATGATTAAGACATCGCCCAAACAACGTAAAAAATAACAACTTTTAGGTAACTATACGCTTGGCAAAACTTATCAGTTATTGTAGGCGAAAGATCAGAAAGTTCACTCACTTAATACATAAGCCCAGCTCCACTCTTTTGGCACTTGAGGGAGGATGAGTGCCCCCTCCCTTGACCCTTCTGACCCCTGTGCAGTCTTTCTGTTGACTTTCTTCATTCACTTCCATTTCGCACTGCTGATTTTATTGTTTATTATATTCTCCATTAAACAGATGTTCGTTCATTATTATGTGCAGATTTGACTACAATATCCATCTTGTATGATGTCTCGCGCGAATACATAAATCCTTGTCCAGGTTCATCCTTCATCCTCTCTCGAAACCTCTTCTGCCTCAGATGTGTATTATCCTTCCGAGTTCGGCCGTCTTGCCAACCAACCAGTGATATCGGCTTCTCGGCGGAAAAGAGTGTGATCTCACCATGCCGTGTACGCCCTCTTCATCTCCATGCGATTTCCCTCTTCGTCTAATTCTTCCTCTTCATCTGCCGTCTCGATGTTTCCTCTGGGTAACTTGCTCGCCCCCCTCCCCCCTCTTCGATAATCCCCTCGTTTCTCATTGTCTAATCCTCTACACTTTTTAGCAGGAGAAATCCTACATTATGGATGAGGCAGACGGGCAGCGGCAGTTGAAAGTAGCAACATCAGCAGTAGCATCAGCTGGCGTCGACAACTGTTAGATTTTTTTCGGGGCAACTATTACCAATTCAAATTAGTGCGTCTCCTAAAATTTCTTGTCAATGCTTTCAGTTTTAGTTTATTAAGATCATTCACATTGAAGGAAGAAAAGTTGTCTGAACTTAGGATGATACTGAAGTTACAGAAAAGTCGATTTAGTGTCCTTGTTCGCTATGCCCTGTTACGTTATCTGGTGGGTATCGCACAGGCATCATTTGCAGTTATTATTTCAGGGAATTTTGAAACAATTTTGGCGTACTTTTTGTCTTTTGATTCCTCTTTTGGCAGTGACAGATGAGCCGTGAAAAAAATAATAAAGAAATGTCGTTCTCTTAACTGGCCTCCCCCATTTTTACTTTTCTTCGGTCATCTTTCATTAAACTTGTATTGTGTGCTGTGGAGATTTATGTTATTTTTCGTTTTTATTCTCGGTGTTTTGCAGCATCATCGACGTATGACGTATGTTAAGAGATGTTGATGCATAGCCAATATACCTGACATCGGCGTGTTCCTAGTTACGGATGTATTGTAGCATTAGATGCTTTCATTTTCACATTTTAATGTTCGTCGATTGAATTTTCACAAGGCTTTCAGCGGATGTCCTGATCCGCAACTAGTATTCAAACCATTCTCTCTCCTTTCGCTCCTCCGCCGTGCGCCTCGGTCTCCTCCTCCTTTCCTCTCCTTGGCGTCCCGCTGAAGCCGGCAATATATCACGCTCGCGGCCTCTAGTCCCTTCGTCGCAATTAATCACGTTGCAGCGCCGGGATAGCGGGCTGATGAATGACTTATCGAGGGCGGCGAGAGTGTGGTAGTCTTCCCGAAGGCGGCCGCGACGGGACTCTTGAGGGAGGCGCTGAGCAAGAGGCAGTTCTTCCTTATACTCACGTTGTATCGCTGCATTGTTGTTAAAAATGATAGAGTAGCAGGGTATTGCATTACCATTAGTACCCTGCCATTGTTGACTGCTTTATTTTATTAATACGTTACATATTTGTGCCAGAAGACAATTTTGTATATATATGTGTGTGTGTGTGTGTGTGTGTGTGTGTGTTGTGTGTGTGTGTGTGTGTGTGTGTGTGTGTGTGTGTGTGTGTGTGTGTGTGTGTGTGTGTGTGTGTGTGTGTGCATAAAAATGTACATTTTCCTACCTAAGGAGGAAATGATGGTGGGAGATGTTATGGACTCGGCCGTGGAAAAAGCGTGACTGCGAGCGTTTCACGAGGGCACTCGATGAAGGAGAGTGCCAGTGGCAACGGCCCGGACTGATGGCCAGCGTCAGTCGGGGGAGATCAGTGCCATTTCCCTCAGCTGACAAGCGATTGCCGCCTTAGTTGAAGCCTCAGAGGCGCTCGATACACACGCACACGCACACGCACGCACACGCACGCACACGCACGCACACGCTCGCACACGCTCGCGCGCGCGCACACACACACACACACACACACACACACACACACACACACACACACACACACACACACACACACACACACACACACACACACACACACACACACACACACACACACATATATGTATGTATGTATATATGTATATGTATGTATGCATACATGCATGTATGTGTATATATATATTTGTGTGTTTTTGTATATATGTATAGATTGATTGATAGGCATATGGTTGTAGATAAATAAATTATAAATTACACACATACTTATGTACGTATGTGTGTGTGTGTGTATGTGTGTGGTCGCTGATATATTGATGTTGATGTGATTGCTGCGTAATCCTCTCTTCCTTTTCATAAATGAAACAAAAACCTGGGAGTGCCTCCCATTATATTTTCTATTATGTGATGAATTTGCGAAGTGTATTGACGAGCGTCTTCTGTTGCAGGCAGCTGGACGAGAATCAGATAACATGCATCGACGAGCAGGCGTTCAAGGGTCTCAGTCTGCTGGAGATTCTGTGAGTCATACCACGTTTGTTTCTGCGTTGAAATCGCACGCTCCCTTCTCAAGGCTCTCCTCAGTTGTGACTGAACGGAGAGCGTAGTACTTGAACAGGGTTCGAGATTGAACCAAGTAAATGTAGGAACCTCTGTATGTTGAATAAATTCTAGGTTGACGGACAGATTTTTCATCAGACGAACGTCCTCTTCCCCTAGAGAATGTAATACATGATCAAAGAATACCACAAAATCATGTAGAACTTATCATCATCTAAACGTTTGTGCAGAGTATCATATTTGTTAAGGTACAGTGATTCGATTACGTTATTTTCGTAAAGAAGTAAAGAATTCCATTTCCTGATCCACATGTAGGACTCTGACGAACAACAACATCACGACCGTGTGGCGTGGCACCTTCGAGACGACGCCGCGCCTGCGCGCGCTCAGGATCTCGGGCAACAAGTTGATCTGCGACTGCCACCTGGCTTGGCTGGGCCGCATGCTGGCCGCGGCGCCGCACCTCGCCCCCTACGTGCGCTGCTCCTCGCCCTATCGCCTCAAGGACCGCCTCGTCACGGAGGTGCTCGACCAAGAGTTCAAGTGCACCGGTAAGTGCCAAATTCCGGTCCGGCTGCTCGATACTACTCTGTTCTGACTGTATTTTTTATCTGTATTTCATCATTCACAGTTTATCCGGAAACAATATTTTCCCCTCGAACCTACTCTTTTCTTCACAACCAGGGGAATAAGGCAGACATGTTCCTTTGTTGCAACGAGGTGCTGTAGAACGCCTTTGATCGCTACCTAGCCATTACAGTCCTTGTAGAGCGCGAGTTGCTAACGCTTTCCTCTAAACATAGTCAAGCCTCATTTTAAATGCAAGGCGGCGCGATGGCAAAAATACACCTTTATGTACCCTAATAACAAGATCAAAGACAAACAGCCGTAAAAATGTATGAGGGTCAGACCATAATGTATTTATGAGGCAGTATAGTTCAGTATCGCAGCTATATACATTAAAATCCAGTCTGTCTCCCCCCGCTATTAACAGTCACATTGAGAATTACACTAAGAAAATAAAAAGCCTGGCACTCTAAATGCTGCATGATATTGATATAGAGTAGTCGGTCACTCCGGCTCCTTCCAATGCCTCGCGATGCCTTGCCGGAGGCGTCGATGACCTTTTTTATGAAGCAAGAGTGGAGCGCCGGCCATTGTTCCCCGGCGGCCCCCGCTTGGCGGCGGTCTGATGGATAAAAAAAGAAAAGAGACGTCTTCCCAGGGTCTGGCTGATGGATTCGAGGTTTATGAGCGAATTCTATAACCATTTGAAGTTTTTTCATCTAAGTATCTTTATATGCACGGATAGCACTACTGTTTGCGAGCCTGAGTCGCCGATAAGCATTAATAATTTAATAATAATAATAATAATTTAGTTTGATTCCATTTGTTACAATGGATATTCTTGGTGTGACATACTGTCTGTTTTATTTTGCTTCTAAATTACCCCCTGTGTGCAAGGAATGGCCGGGGTTACCATCCACTGGCGGTGGATGGTAACGCTTTGATGGAAATTCACCGTCAATCTATGTTCTTTGTTTAATCACATGAAGGGTATACGTAATCTATGAACTGTGATTGCTTACTTTGCAAACTACCCGTAAATTTAATTAAGACAAACGCCATTAAATTAGGACAAATTCAGGGGCTCCGAGCCATTCATTCTGCATGAAAGGGATGTAAATAGTTTAGTGAAAAGACGTACGAGGAAGGAAATGTGCGAGGGAATACAATATCAAATTAAGGCAAAGAAGAAGAAGAAGAAGAAGAAGAAGAAGAAGAAGAAGAAGAAGAAGAAGAAGAAGAAGAAGAAGAAGAAGAAGAAGAAGAAGAAGAAGGGGAGGGGAAGGGAAGGGACAGAAAAGGAAGAGGAAGAGGTAAAAAGTAAGAAGGAGAAGGGAAAGATGAAGAGGTGGAGAAGAAAAAATAAAGAGGAAGAGTAATAGGAGGAGCAGAAGTAGTAGTAGTAGTAGTAAAAGAAGGAGAAGGAGAAGGATAAGGAGAAGAAGAAGGAAAAGAAGAAGGAGAAGGAGAAGGAGAAGGAGAAGAAGGAGAAGGAGAAGGAGAAGGAGAAGGAGAAGGAGAAGGAGAAGGAGAAGAAGGAGAAGGAGAAGAAGGAGAAGGAGAAGGAGAAGGAGAAGGAGAAGAAGGAGAAGGAGAAGGAAAAGAAGAAGGAGAAGGAGAAAAAGAAGGAGAAGGAAAAGAAGAAGGAGAAGGAGAAAGAGAAAGAGAAAGAGAGAGACAAGGAGAAGGAGAAGAAGAAGAAGAAGAAGAAGAAGAAGAAGAAGAAGAAGAAGAAGAAGAAGAAGAAGAAGAAGAAGAAGAAGAAGAAGAAGAAGGAGGAGGAGGAGAAGGAGAAGGAGAAGGAGGAAAAGAAGAAGAAGTAGAAGTAGAAGAAGAAGTAGAAAAGAGGAGAAAGAAGTGGAACAAGAGGATGAGAAATGAATAAAAGACGATGTGGAGGAGAAGGAGACAGAAGAGGAAGAAGAGGAGGAGAAGAAGACAAAAGAGGAAGAGGAGGAGGAGAAGGAGACAAAAGAGGAAGAGGAGGAGGAGAAGGAGACAAAAGAGGAAGAGGAGGAGGAGAAGGAGACAAAAGAGGAAGAGGAGGAGGAGAAGGAGACAAAAGAGGAAGAGGAGGAGGAGAAGGAGACAAAAGAGGAAGAGGAGGAGGAGAAGGAGACAAAAGAGGAAGAGGAGGAGGAGAAGGAGACAAAAGAGGAAGAGGAGGAGGAGAAGGAGACAAAAGAGGAAGAGGAGGAGGAGAAGGAGACAAAAGAGGAAGAGGAGGAGGAGAAGGAGACAAAAGAGGAGGAGGAGGAGGAGAAGGAGACAAAAGAGGAAGAGGAAGAGGAGGAGGAGAGGGAGAAGGGGACGAGCTATGATCGCGGGCCTTTTCCTTGCAATCAGATTTCCATTATTTGGTGTGGCTGTGCAGAGGCGGGATATTAGATTTTCATGAGAGACGAACCGGAGAGAATTGGGGAGACAGTCAAGGACAGGAAAAATAAAAGCTATCACGAAGGAAAATGTCGATGACAGTGTTTCTCTTGCATCATCAGAAGGTAGTTTTTTTGTTTTTTTTTGGGGGGGGGGGGGGGCAAAGTCTTTAGGTTGCCAGGTTTTATTTATTAGGAACCCCGCCAATGGCCCACCGTGACGGAATATATTCAAAGTAGTCTAGCGACGAATAGGAAAACCAGAAATAGGATCAAACGAAGCCATGTCGCGTGGCGTGATCGTCTGTTTCTAGTTTTCTCTCCTTCCTCACATTATTTTCAATTTGCTGGTTCTTTTGTCACTATGTCTCTCTCCCCCCTTCTCCTCAGCTCCCTTCTCCGTGTAATCTTCTTTTGCTGATTACGTTATCGATGGAATGATACGCCGAGTAAGCCACGTGAGCTTTCTCTGTTACTCTGGCGGTCAGTTTCTAGCAAACATTGAAATGTTTCCCAACGTCAACACAAACAAAGAAGTCGAATTCGTCGTGAGTTCAGATTTTAGATAAAATGCTGCGTCCCTCGCCTTGTTCAGGAAATGAGAGGCATGGAGGGCTGGTGAGAGATGGCCACATTGAATTATCCTCCCGACTTGACTCGTCGGCTGCCTCGAGCGCGCCAGGTGGAAGAGCCAATCAGCGTGACGAACCAGGACGCTAAATGTATTACCCTGCAGGATGACATCAGAATGTTAGAGTAGCATGAAACACACACACACACACACACACACACACACACACACACACACACACACACACACACACACACACACACACACACACACACACACACACACACACACACGCACGCACGCACGCACACACACACACTTACAGTGTGTAGATGATTTCTCCTTGTACTTCTTACCGCCTTTCGAGTCAGCATTCAGCGCTGCTCCGCGTGTAGCGATGTTGCTTACATTCCGCCAGGGGTGGCACTCTCCAGCTGCTTATTGAGTTTGTGCGGTAGCCACTGTGATGGCGCGTCCATTGTGGGCCCCGCGGACACCCCGCGGCCTCCCGGGAGGTCCCCTACAGCGACCCCCTCAGGCGGCTCCGCGACCCCGTCCCGAGGCCAGCAGGAGGACGGCCGTGGGACAGCCTGTCACCCGGCCTGCTCGCCGCTAGCGTCCTCGCCTGCCAGCAGAAACGAAAAGTATTCCTTACAGAGTGACACATGTCCCTGAGGCCTAATTAAATTTTCATTTTAAGTAACATTACTTAGTGTTTACATTCGTTGCTGTATATTTGACATTAGTTTGTCTCCGAAACAAAGCCTAAACTCTACACCAAAAAAGCCCCAAGTGTGATTCTTGGCTCAGAACATAGGTGAGTGCATGGGATCACTGGGCGCGAAAAGTCTTAATGGATCCTTTGAATCTTACATTTCACTGCTGCCCATTCCTCGTTTTTGGAGCATCATTGTTTCAAGCACTCACGGTTTCTTATTAATCAAAGAACATGTTCTTGGGTTCAAGAGCAGGAAAGTAAAGGTAAAAGTTAACAAACACAACAAACTGTCTTCAATAGCACATCACATTACCAGTAGAACATAACCGAAATGGATTATGTCAGGCTAGAAAGATGTAGAATCCCTGACAACCATAGGATTGACTTGGAATGTCAGATGATGGCCAAGTTAATACGCAAGAGCACTTGGGGATTTACGGTTTAAGATGGACGGATTTGATTAAGGGCTGGGGCGACGGGGAATATGCAAGGCTGATAAGGCGCTCTCCTATTCACCGGGGAGAATGGTCGCCAACACTCGTTTATAGGACGACATGTCACCCTGACAGAAGAGTGTTCTTGACACACTGCTACTCGACATACCCAAGCCAGTTATCCAATTGCCTCTCCACCCTACAGCAGCCTTCCCTTCCGCCATATTAAGCCTGTTCATGCCCCTTCTCTCCTTTCTCTTAAGTACTTCTGGCGTCTCCCATGCCCCCTCTCTCCTCTCGCTCTCCCCCTCCTCTCCCTCCGGCTCCCCTCCCCTCTCCCTCCGGCTCCCCTCCCCTCTCCCTCCGGCTCCCCTCCCCTCTCCCTCCGGCTCCCCTCCCCTCTCCCTCCGGCTCCCCTCCCCTCTCCCTCCGGCTCCCCTCCCCTCTCCCTCCATACTCAGTTTGTCCCTCCCCTCTGCCTTCCTTCCCGCTCCCTTTCCCTCGCACCCGCTGCCTCTCTCCCTCCCTCCTTCCTCATTTCTGCCCTCCCCTGGTCCCTTTTCCTTCCCGCTCCCTTTCCCTCCCCTCGTCAGGGCGAGGCGCAGGTGATCAAGAGTGAAGTAAAAACGCCATTGATTCATTGATCGGATCACTCCGTCACGCACGGAAGCCCCGCGAAGGACAGGCGCCGTCCGAATCCTGGATTCCTCCTTCATTGATTTCGTGTCTTCGTCTTTCGCCTCGCTTTCTCGGCTTTTTTCGCTCCCTTGTTCTTTTCTCTTTTTATCATTATCATTGATGATATTCCTCTATTTTCTTCATATTCTTTTTCTTCTTATCATTATCATTATTATTTTTATTATTATTATTATTATTACTATTATGATGATTATTATTATTATCTTTATTAGTATTATCTTCATTATTATTATTAATGATTATTATTATTGTTATTATTATT